AAGCCCGATGGGGTCCAGCGCGGGCTGGTGGGAGAGATCATCAAGCGGTTCGAGCAGAAAGGCTTCCGGCTGGCGGCCATGAAGTTCGTGCACGTAAGTCTCGGCAGCCGGGGAATCGCTCCCCCCTGCGCCGGCTCCCTCGTCCTAAACGCTTTCCCTCACCTGCCAGAACGGGTCCTGAAATGGTGTGCACCTTCCTACGCGGCTTTTTCCTGCATCGGAATGGGAATCTGATGCCGAACCCGCCCAACAGCTGGAAGTCCCGGGTCACATCAGGCCGAGCTTTCTATCGAGCGCAAACGTTTGATCTCTCCCCTTTCCTGAGGGAACAAAATTTGCTCGGACGGCTTAATGCAGCCTAATTGAGAGAGCCGAAATGACCTTGACCGAAAGGCTGGATCGGGTAACGCCATCCAGACATCTTGCACTCAGCTTATTGCTGAGGATTACTGTAATGCAAAGAAATAATTTTGACAACTCGCAACACTGACACTACTACAAAGACAGGCAGTGCGCCGTGTGCTGCTTTGGTTTTAAATTAGGAACTTTAATTGGAACCCCCCTAATAGCATTGCAGTAACTGCTGATAATATTAATGACTGGTGAGTCCAGTCGCTACTGCTGTAGTCGTAAAGCAGCGACACCTTTGGTGGTATATTTTGAAACTGGTATTTAATGTTACATCTGTCCTTTTAAAGGCCTCTGAAGACCTTCTCAAACAACATTACATTGACCTCAAGGACCGACCATTCTACCCTGGTTTGGTTAAATACATGAACTCTGGACCTGTTGTGGCCATGGTAAGCGGCTTAATTCTACTTAAAGACTACTTTCCCAAATATATTTGTCTCACTCTGTAAATTATTTTAAAATATTCAGATGTACTGTTACGTAAACACTTTTTCAAACTACCCTGTTCTGATAGTGGCAAAAGAAAACCAAAATTAAAATCAAGTAGAAACTTACTATTTATTAAGAAGGGGGAAGGTGTGCATATATAGAACGCATATGACAATGCTTAGCATGGCTTAAGCAAAATTCCCTCAAGCCCATCTTCCGCACCAAAAAAATCTCTTGTTTTGGGCAAAAGACGGTCAGGGCTTTCCCACAGAAACCCATCTGCTGTGTCATTCTTTTTTGCACTGCCCCCCCAAACAATATAACGGCCATAGTAGCATCTCCTCTTGTATGTACCTAACTAGGAGCGCTTGCAACTCATCTGGCTGTCCTTGCCCATTCACAACAGAAAGGTTTTGAAGTTGGCCTTGTACATCAGTTAACTCTGAGGCTTGTTGAAGTGTCTCCTTAACTGGAGCGACAATGTTGATAGTCCTTTTTATAATCACTTTCAGTTCTGATGTTTTTTTTCCCTTAGACTTCTTTAGAGGCCTAAGAGAGAATGTAGGCTAGATTAATTTTTTTAGTGGTGGAGCCTTTGTTTCTTTGCAAAGTATGTTATTAGCAAAAATTAATCTTTAGTATTTCATATAAGCATGGATTAATAGGAGTTGTCTTTTTTCCTTAAGGTATGGGAAGGACTTAACGTAGTTAAAACTGGGAGAGTAATGCTGGGGGAAACAAACCCTGCAGACTCTAAGCCTGGTACCATCCGTGGTGACTTCTGCATTCAAGTAGGAAGGTATGTGCTCAGTTTATTGTCAATCGAGATTAAAAACTCAAAGTTGGTAGACTTTTGTTCTAGAAATTGTTGGTAGATATCCTAGTCTGATGATATCTTATTTGCAGGTCACAATCCGTAACTGCTACTTAAGAAAATGGCTTGGCACAAAATTGACTTTTTTTGAAATACAGCTCCTCATCAGAGCTTCATGTAAGATCAGTCAGTGGCAGTGGCTGGTGTAGTAAAGTAGCCCAAGTCACCCTGCTAGACTTAATTAGCTCTTGTAGTGGGGGTATTTGAATACCATACCCGAAATAGTAGTCTTGCAGATGTAGATGCTTCATCCAAGTTTTTGCACGTGGAAAACTACTAGGTTGCTGAAAATTGTACTTTTATACAAACAATGCATTTCTCTCCTTCCACAGAAACATCATTCATGGCAGTGACTCCGTAGAAAGTGCGCAGAAGGAGATCAACCTGTGGTTCAAACCTGCAGAGCTCATTGACTTCAAATCTTGTGCACACGATTGGATCTATGAGTGAAATGAGTTTCCACAATGAATTGTGCCTTCTTAACCACGTCATCTCATTCCAGCTATTGATCTGGGAGCAATTATCACCACGGTTATCTTAAGTCATTTTCAGCACTGTCAAATAAATGGATACGAACTAATTTGTTGTGGTATATTCACTATAAAACAGACTACTGTGTTCAAATAGTCACATAAGTCATTTTACTCAGCCATTCAATATTTTCTTCTCGTAGAAGGAATAGTTAACACAAACATACAAGCATATCTGAATAAAAATTTAGTGAGTTGTTCATTGCAAAGTTGCTTTGAAGGCTACTGAAATACGTTACAGTTGGAAAGCCAGCTTGCAGAGGGAGAGCTGAAGGGATGCTCGAGTTCCTTCCGATATAACAGAACTGAAAAAGGAGAAGAATGGCCCACCCCATGACAAAACTTCCCTCCCTCCACAACTATTAATACCA